CCACCATGGCGGCCGCGGCAGCTGTGGGGTTCAGGTGATGCATGGGAGCTACTTCACCGCCGCCACCGACAATGGGACCTCCGTAGTAGCCGCCAGCCTGCCGGCCTCCGTAGGCGGAGGAAACGCCATCCAGGTAGGAGGACATGTAGGAGGACATCTTGTGCGGATAACCGGCGGCCGCGGCCAGGTGACTTGCGGCAGTCAGATGACTGAGGGTGGGTTTTATGAGACAGTCCAGGCTCAGCTCTGCCATGCCCAGTTCGGGGCAGAGGTTAGCCTTGTTCTTTTTTGACTTTTGGGAGACCTTGCGATTACGTGTCTGGATACCGTCTTTCTTCATGGATATCGGCCGTTGAACCTTCCGAGAAAAAAAAATTCAATAAAAAGGCTGAATTTTGGAAGGCAGTAGCAAGGCTTCGAACTCATAAAAATGCAGTTTACGCTATGAATTAGTGGACAATGATGGATTTTGGCTTGCTTTAAATCCCCTCCACTGCGAGACTATCAACAGACGCGTATCTGTGCATAAGCCAATCGGTAGAATGTACATACAACTGAAAATCGATAATTTAGGCGGTGAAAGACGACTGTTTTATTCATCAGGCAACTGCAAGGTTAAGCTATGCTGAACCTTTCTGATTTTTCCAAATGAAGCATGAATCAGGACCCTAATTCCTCAGCGAGATCCTGTGGTTTAGAGAACTTCAGTCCCAGAAAACTGGAAGGTAACTCCCACTTCTGGTATGGGAGCTAGTAATCTGCGAACCATCTGAGCTTTACAAAGCTTGCGGTAGCTAGTGCAAATAGCTGGAACCTATCTTCCCCAACTGGCGGTGTACCCATCGATCTGAAGTTTGGTTCGCTTCCAAAAGGGCAGAGTCAAGGACATGTCTCCCTTACGGCAAGTTGGCGATACCAAGTTAGTTTATGGCTCTGTGGAATGTTTGTGCCTATTTTCTACATTGTGGGTTGGCGTTTTCCGCAGATTAGTCTCCCTGAACTTTATGACTGTCTTACTGGTAATACAAGCAGAGAACTCGATCTGCACCTCGTTTGTTAAACAGACACCAAAGTCTAATAAAGGCATGGGAGAAAAAAGCACATGACCTCCGAGTTTCGATTTATTGATATAATCGAATCCAGTTACTGTATCCTGCAAGCCCTTCGCCCAACTATGCGTATTTGAGAAAAAGAAATAGTTCAGAAGCCCTCTCGTCTGCTGCTTTGCCCCGAAGGGATATAGAAGAATCGACCTTACCTTATTTACAGTTGGCTGGGCGGGCTTTTGAAATTGAGCCTCCGTGTTTTTCTGCTCTCAGTTTGCATGGGAATTTACATATATGTACTTTGGTTGGCCTGTTGCGCTCGCCCCCCCCCCTCTTTGTTTATTTGAACGACAATAAGCCAAGGATGACTTGTATAACCACCTAAATCGAACAAAGGGACAGGAATCGTACCCAATACATCAGCCTTTAGACCAAATTCCAGGGAAATTAAATTTATAAATAAGGTTGGGATTAGCTTTAGGGTTAGCTTTAAAGTTGGGATTAGGGTCAAGCTTATGCTAAGAGTTAAAGCCTGTGTTCGTGGGAACTATAGCTTATAGGTTTAGGGTGAGGTAAGATTAGAAGTAACGTTACAGATTAGTTTTAGGTTAGGTTTATTGTTAGGGTCAATACACGGCCATATTTACAGTTCTTTCAGTTTCTTGCAAGACCACTTATTTTAAGTGGACGGGGCGTTCCTATGCCCGTTTCCTGTTTGGCGGCTATACAAGTTCTCCTTGCATACAATAATGAGGTTTTCCGCGCACGAGCCCAGGACTGTTTTGAAGGAAGTCAAATCTACCCCAACCTTACCTACTCATTCACTGACGATCCTTCATCTTGTCAACAGCCACACTTTTCGGCCATTATATACCGTTTTTAATCTTCCGGTGTTACCTGCTTTTTTTGACCTCTGAGTGTACGTGCTTTGTGTAGCCATTTTTGTCCACGGTGAATGGGGGACCTTGTACTGACGTCGCTATCTTAAACCAACCCCATTAACGCACACCAAAGGATCTCTTTGTCTAGCCTAGTTTTAGTACAATTTCTCCACTTGGCTTATTATCCGATGGTATCGTGAATGGATGCCGAGTTCGAAGCTACCTTTATGCGGTTCTGATTCAACTCACAAATCTGTCACCCTACGCGTCCTG